GTCCGGGCACGCAGAGCGCGACCCGAGGCGTCCAAACCTCCCGAAACTGCTTTAGGACCTTCGTGTTTTGGTGAAAAGCAAAGGGCCAAATTCTAATTACTCATAATGAAATCACTAGCCAAAAAAAAAAAAATAGACTTGAGTCTTCCTAAAGATCATACATGCAAAACAAATAGACTTGAGTCTTCTTAAGGATCATGCATCCCCTCATTCCCATAGGTTTCTAATCCCAATCTGAAGTAAATAAAAACAAGTGGATGGAGCAGCTCTGGTTCAAAACAAGAGGGAAGTGGTGTAGGAAGGCGGTGTCCTTCTATTGCCATAGGTCTGATTTTATTTCTAAAAATAAGCAGGGCACATCTTTGATACCCCATCAGTCACATTTTATTCTCTAAATGCTTACCCCTGAACAGACACGAGGTAAAGCTCAGAGGGCCACAAACTGGATGTACACCAAATGTGCTCTGTCATCCTTCCCTACAGGGAACAGAGGTGATCTTCCCTTTTTAATAAGTTAAAAAGATAATGCATGAAAATAAAAGATGGGGATTCAGATTCTGATAGGAAAGAATAACAGGACTAAATTCGAGAAAATTTGGGGCAGAGGTATTAAATAATGTCTCTAGTGTGCTGTGAGGAAAAATTTTACTTTCTTTTACATTTACAAGGATTTTACTTATACATTTACAAGGATATCCAGATGCTAAGATATCAGTGGGAAAGAAGGCTAATCCAGATGAAACCTGCTTTGCTGGGCTCACAGCACCAGCCAGGCTGCTGGTGAGCAGCGTCCTGCTTCTCTTTGGTGGCTACTGCACTTTGTTCCTCATTCATTTGGGAAGCTCCAGAAAGCATTCTGCATCTCAGGGAGAATATTCTCAGTGCCTTTCGTGATAGAGCTGTTCCTGACCTCACCACAGAACCACAATAAAATCTACTACTTCTGCAGAATATTTCTACTGGATATGCATTTTTCTTAACAGTTACCCATAAAATCCTCTTCACCTCATCCACCAACTTTAATATTAACAGCTATATTTCATTTCTGTCAGGTTTGTCTAGCCAGAACTTAGAGCATTAACCCAGTGCAGCCTGTGTAATTGAAGCAGTACTCAAGTTCACAGTGTGGAAGAGTTTGATTTGCCACCCATGAGCTCAAGCTGGTGAAGAGAAATGCTCCCAAATCCACATCCAGGTGTGCACAACCACACACCTGCAGTCACCATGCCTACGGGCAAACTGGTCTACTGATTTAGCAAGGAAAAGCAGCAAAGTTCCTAGAGATAGAAGGGAAAAGTGTCGTTTCTTGAATATCAGCACTGTAAGAATACAATTAACAGAAAGAAACATTCTATGCCAATATGCAGTTGTGAGTGAGTAGACAGTAACCCATGCCACAGTCCAGGACCTCTATGGCCATTAAATACAGATTTTTGTCTCCTTTAGTCTTTAGGCAAGACCATTTCATTAACATGGCAAAAGCAGCCTAATGACTTTGATTATTCACATTTCAAAATATCCAAGGACAGACGAGTCCCAGCCACATCCCTGTGCGTGACTCCTTGCAGACAGCTACCCTCACTTGGCAGCTATTATCTCTCACACCAGCTGGGTTGTGTTTTTCAGGGTCTCTGCTCTGGAGCCCTTCCAGGCTGTTGCATTTAGCTGGAATGTTTGTGGCAGAATGAGTCCAGGAAACTCCTTTCCTCGATGCACAAACTTCTGCCAGGGCACCAGTGCAACTGCGCCACTCTGAATAAAGGCCTGGAGCTCAGCAAGGCAGAAGCAGAAGAAAACAGAACTGGAAAGAAGAAAGGCTGATTAATGATTGATTAAAACTGTGGCAAACAGGAGCGTTCTTCAGTGATTATGCCCTTGGTACTCTCTCACAGAATAGTTACTTTGTTCAAAGCCAGATCCAGTGGTTGCCACAGAGCATTGCAGACATACCCATTTTAATTTCCAGAAAACCCTCAGCTCTTTGTTTACAACTATTTGATGCATGATCTGTCTTCATTAATAATTTCACGTTCAAAATAAAGTTCTGTAATCAAGTCCTTGCACTCTTTAATAACACTGAAATCCTCTCTCTAAAAGTTCTCCTGTGTGTTTTCCTACTGCATGAATTTGTCTCCTTTTCTAGAGAAAATTTGTCCCTATTCCTTCCCAGCCCATTCTCTCTGCCACCCAGATGGGTGTCCAGGGAATCCTCCCTCACTGTTTTCTGGGGTGCAGGCGCATTCATTTTCAACACTTGACTTTTTTTCCCCTACAGAAGACCTAGATATTGTCTGCTATTCATGCTGTTGACTCACATTCCTATTCTATTGATTGTGCACCTTTGATTGGTTCCATGTGAATTATTTTTAATTAATGACCAATCACAGCCAGCTGTGTCAGACTCTGAGGAGTCAGTCATGAGCTTTCATTGTCATTCTTGTAAAGCCTTCTGATGTATCCTTTCTCTTGCTTTAGTATAGTTTCAGTGTGTAATGTTATGTAATGTAATAATAAATCAGCCTTCTGAGAACATGGAGTGAAATTCTCATCTCTCACCTCGTCCTGAGGACCCTCACAACACTACAACTGATGATGGCCCATCAGACAAATTTGTGTGGAGGAAGTTCTGGGAGTCTGACACACTACAAAGACAAAAACACCCTTACTGCCTCCTGAGCATTCAGAATTACAACACTTTAAAACGACCTGCCTAAATCCATCTCTTTATACATCTCTACACACCAGACCACGGACTACCACAAAGAAAATGAACCTTTTTCCTGGCAAGGACGTGCCAGGCTCCCTTCTCTCTGCTGGAGCCACTCACCCCCTTGCAGTACCCACACCTGTGGTTCTTTCTCAGCATTTCCTTGGCTCGAGCTCACCTGTGCGTGGGGAATTTTTCATCACACACCTCCCCCTGTTTGTCAACATATCACACCAGCACATCTTAAACCCAGCCTAGGATTACCTCAAACTTGGGGTGCACCTGACAGAGCCCAGAGGCACACCTTGCACACCAGACAGCCACCCAATTGCAATTTGAGCTCCTTAGCAAAGGCCCTTTTGCACCTTTTGTTTTACTGGTTTAGGCATTGTTTGATACCTGCTTAATATTAATACAATGCTGCTTTAGTGTTTTATCGCAGTGGGGCTTTCATCCTGTTTGGGTATGGAGGCAATACACAACTTCAGTAGATTCTTTTTATGTCAAAACCAGAAGTGTAAAGTCCATGAGAAGAGAAAATGAAGTACTCTACTTTTTTTTCTTCTCTCTCTCTCTAACTGCATTACTTGGAGGGAAAATCTGCTAAAAAGAAAAGATGAGTGCGTAAGCACTCTGCATTTGTCACCAGAATCAGAGCTTTAGTCTTTAAGTAAGTGCAGAGGTTTTTCTGAGTCATTAATACCAAATAAATGACTGAGAAGGAGGAAGAAAATACATAAAAGCCCTCATTATATGCAAAACAGATGGAGGGAAACTGCTTTGGGAGGCATCATATTCTAAACCTGAAGTGGGAACTGAATTTTTTATGTAATCCCAATGGCTAGGTAATGGTAATGTTATTCTGAAGTTTTAAAAGCGACTTCTGTCTGTTCTTCTGAAATATTAACTAAAAAAAAATTTTTACATATCCCAAGCTGAGAACATATGCACGGGGAAAAACTTTATATTCTCTATGCCCTTAAAATCATTACATTGTCATCTTCAAATAAACACCTCAGCACAGCAGGTGCCTAGAACATACAAAAAAGTGTGTGGAACACAATGTTCTGAAGAAATTGTCATGAATACAGCTCTAGTCTTCAAAAATGCCTCTAAAAAAATTTTACAAGGTATCAATGGCTGGGAAAACAAAATTCTTTCTCACAATCAAAAGTTTTCCCATTTCTAGAGCCAGAGGCACAAGAAGATTTACAAGGTTCACTTCTAAACTTTGTGGGTTGGGAGAGTTTACATTTCAGGTTTTGTTTTGGAGCATTTCACTGGTTTTTGGTCTCAGTATTGTACAAATTAACTTCTTGCAGCAGCATCAAAAGCAAAGAAAATCCTGTGATTAATC